TATATATATATATATATATATATATATATATATATATATATATATATATATATATATATATATATATATATACACAAAATTTCTACTTAAGTAAAGTAACAAAGTATTTGTACTTTATTACTCGACACCTCTGGGAAATTATTTTAATTTGAAAGGATTTTTTTCAGCTTTGAAAGCTTTTGTTTTACTTAGTACAATACTATTATAATTTCTTAATTTAACGGATGCTTTTGATATGCGCAGCCTTTTCAAAATCAAACATTAGGGAATGCTGCATCAATACAATGAAATAGTGTCAAATTATTTGTGTGTTAAGAAAGATGTGTTTAGTCACACAGTCTACTCTGAATGTGAGAACAGATAAAGTTTTGCTGTAAAATCCTATATAATATAACATGTAGTATCTAATACTTTATTATTTTTCCAGTCCCTTACTAAAACGTGGAGAATTCTATGACTGTGTTTTTATATCAGAGTACTCAGACACCCCATGGTGTTGATTCTGTTTGAATCATAGATTAAGAGGAGTGTTTCACTCAGTTTTATTTTCTTTCTTTTTTTTTTACAATTGAGTTGTAGCTATTTTTTATATGTAAAGCAGGCTTGACTTGCAACCTTCAACTTGTTTATCAAATAATTCATAATATATGGCCTCTTTGCTCAGTAAACAGTTCTGCTTAATCTTTTCTGATCACAAAACATTTTCATAAATGTCTTCATGTTAAAATAAAAAGAAAGATTTAAAAGACTGACAGGACTGACAAGATTAGGCAGCCTTTCTGTTTCCTTAGATATTTGTAATTATCCTCAGCAGTCATATTTAAACTCTGTGGCACTATTGAAGCATTTGTGCAAAGCCTCCATGCCATTTTTCTCCGCAATAAAAGAGATTCATGCTGTCATTTTGGTCTGCTGATCACAGAAACCACCAACCTAGTTCAATTCATGTATGGCAGCACTTATGAGGTTGTTACATAGATGTGCTTGAGTGTGTGTGTCCTTTTATTGTGTGTGTTACCGAGTCTCTTTCTTCACCTGTCCTCCACATATGCTACTGTCTTCCCTCCTGCTGTCATCTGTCACCAACACTTTCATGCTCCCTCTTTTCCCCTAATATATATTCTCTATTTCCCAAAAGACAAATGGCATTGTCTGTGGGTTATGTGTCTAGCCTAACTTATGCACAGATACACGGTGCAATTTTAGAGCTTGCTATCAAAAATTGTAGCCAAATTATGTTGCTATTGATGCAGCAATAGTTATTGTGGCTGTAAAATAACTGAGTTGTTCCTTTAGTTTACTGGGTCTGATTGATCGTTATTATTAGTCTATTATCCAACAGGCAAGTTAATGTTGATGTCCAGATGCTTATTTGCAAGACAAGGATGTATCTTTTCTGCTTAAAAACTACACAGGAACTGAAGAACTCTCATAGTGCATTTTTGTTTTGTCTGAACATAACAATTTTTCCAAGTCTAGCAAAATGTCTTGATGCTACGTGAAGTGTAAATGAAACAAATAAAAATCTAAATCTGTTCATTTTAACCACATATTAAATTAGAATTAATGAGAAGTCTGTATTGACATACAGTATTCACTCGACTTAAATATATAACTTTTTGTACCTTACATAAACACACTTTTATTTATATAGTATT